CGGTCTCTCCTGCCCGGGCTGGCTTTGAACCGCGATCCTCAGATCTCAGCCTCCTGAGTAGCTAGGATTACAGGCGTGAGCCACCAGCGCCCAGCTTTATCATAGGTTTTTATAATTCCATAACTGACTTTTTAATTAAAGTCTTTTAAAATTAGAGATACTAATTTTAAGCCTTGAATTCTTCTCACCAGATCACAGCAAAGTGTAATGTGTTGCTTGTCATTTTTTTAGACATTTCTGGAAGAGTTTATTTAGGTTTTCATTCACAGCAATTGCATTGAAAACCTTGTCTATGAGCCTCTAACTTGGCATTTTCTGCAAGGGCAGATGGATTTCTACTTTAACAACAACAAAACTTTCTAAAAAGAGAAAAGGAAAGGAAGGAGAGCAGGGAGAGTAAAGGAAAGAAAGAAGGAGAGAGTGTGAGACCAGCCCAGAACAACAAAAAGGAAATGCTAGCCTTAAGGAAAGTAGTTATTGAATTTCAAGACAATTCCCAGAGAGCCTGGAGCAAGACAGTGGCTAGAACGCTGGGTGTAATAGTGCTTACTTACAGTCCCAGTTCAACTGGGGAAGGGAGTAGGGGAATCACAGACTAGGCCACCACCACTTCCTGCAAAAGCACACTTGACCTCAGCCTGGGAAGGTGGCTCACTGGTAGAGTGCTTGCCTAGAACGCATGAAGCCCTGGGTTCGATTCCTCAGTACCACATACAGCAGAAGTGGCTCTTTGGCTCAAGTAGTAGAGCACTAGCCTTGTGCATGGAGAGGCTCAGGGACAGTGCCCAGACTTGACCCTTCTTGAAAAGTAAGCTAACGCAGAAAGGACTGGTTGGGTAGGAAAAGGAAGAGAATGGGAGGACTCAAGCTTTTAGCACTGGGATGTTCTCCAGTATCTAGTTTTACTGACTGTGTGCTTTTACCATCCTGACAGTGTTTGGTCTATAGAACAGAGCAAGCTCAAGACGTAAAGAAGATTGAGAAATTCCACAGTCAGCTCATGCGCCTCATGGTGGCCAAGGAGCCCCGCACTGTGGCTGTAGCGGAAGCAGACTGAGGGACGTGCTTGAAGACTGCTGTGTTTAGAAAGTAAATATCTTTTGGATTTGAGTAAGTGCTGGGACAGAGGATACTGATGGGGCTCTTCAGTGTGTAATTTACAGGTCCTGGAACAAGAATGCTTTCAGTTAGAAAACCTTTATTTTTGGAAATTGAACAGGATATACTCAGAACAATTTATATCAGTAATGTGAAAATAAAATACCAAGAAAAGCCTACTCCTTAAACTTAGTTCATTTGTTTTTTGAGAGAAAATTAAATAGACCGCATTTGGTTGGACTGTTCTGTTTCTTTTGGAACATAAAATTTGTGCTGTTAGTAACCAATAAACGCCTCCCTGTGCCCTGTAGTGTGTGGTGTGTGTCGTGTGCCTCAGCTGGGAAAAGCACGCGGGACTCTGAAACTGTCATTGGGTATGTAGGGTTTGTGCTGTCAGCACACTGAGCAGTGGCTGACTTTCAGTCTGGTTTTCATTGACCAAAATGAGCAGTTATTCGAACGCATGAACCGAAGTCTGACCACTGTGTCTGCAACCAACACATGAGTTTCCTACCTGCAGTGTCTCAGCATGACCAAGGGCGAGCATGACTGCTGTGTTGTTTCCCAGAAAGCCAGAAGAATGACAGTATTACACATTGACTTTCAGTTGTAATCTGATCTTGACCATCTAAACATAATGTTCATATGTTGGTTCCAGGAAGGCTCTAGACTCACGTTGAACATTTTAGTGTGGAAAAGGTTCCATTTATGGTTACGTTTCAGAGAGATCAGTAAATAAAATACTATACAAAAACAATTTTTTCTTGATTGATTGATTGGTTGGTTGGACTCTGGGCCTGGGCACTGTCCCTGAACTTCTTTTGCTCAAGCCTAGCACTCTACCACTTGAGCCACAGTGCCACTTTTGGCTTTTTCTGTCTATGTGATACTAAGGAATTGAACCCAGGGCTTCATGCATGCTAGACAAGCACTCTACCACTGAGCCACCTTCCCAGCCTTCAATTTTTTATTTACTTCTCAAGTGTTGGCTTCTTCGCTGGCCTATACTATACTCACTAACCTAAGTGAGCCACGAGAGCAGGGTTTTTGCTATTTTTCTCAGTACTTTGCTGATACGTGACTTCTGAGCTGCATGTTGATGGTGTGGTTGTTTTCTTGAGCTTAGAAAATAGTATTTAGAGAAAACAATACATATCCTAGTCCTTTTTTTTTTTTTGTGGGTTGTAGGGCCTGAACTCTGGGCCTGGGCGCCGTCCCTCAGCTCTTCAGCTCAAAGCTATTGCAATTGCTGTTTTATGAGGTAAGCATGTAAGAAACCAGCTCTTAATATTTTCTGCTTTTTGTTTTTCCAGTTTTGGGGCTTGAACTTGGCATGAGCACTGTCCCTGAGCTCTTTTGCTTGGGCCTACTGCTCTACCACTTTGAGCCACAGCACTTTTTTTGGTGGTTAATTATAGATAAGAGTCTCACAGACTTTTCTGCTGGGGCTGGCTTCAAACCATGATGCTCAGATCCCAGCCTCCTGAGTAGCTAGGATTATAGGTGTGAGCCACCAGCTCCTGGCTAGCTCTTATTCATTAATTTATCACGATTATTTCTAGGTAATGTCTCTCTCTCATTTTTAATTATGTGTTGTGCTGGTCCTGGGGCCTGGGTGCTATCTATGAGCTTTTGTATTTAAGGCTAGTGCTTTACCACTTGAGTTAGACTTTCCTGCCCGGGCTGGCTTTGAACCGCGATCCTCAGGTCTCAGCTTCCTGGTAGCCCGGATTCCAGGCCCGAGGCCGGCGCCCGGCAGCCCCACACTGTAACAGTACACCCGCGTGTAGTGTTTCTAAGATTGCACTGCGGCCCTTTCCAGACGCTTCTGAGGCTGTGGCCGCGCCTTGGGGCCCCGCGCCTGTGTGGGCCCGCGGGCTCCGGCCCTGCTGCGGGTCACCGCCGGAGGCGGGGTCGGCAGCACGCTGGCTGCTTCTGGAAAAATCTCCCCTTCACTGCAGTGGCAGGCGCCCTGGAGAGCGCCAGGATGACTGGGGCGACCGCTGAAGGCGGCCGGGCTGGGGCAGAGGCGGGCGGGCTGG